GCCCTTTGCCTCCTAGCTCTTTCTTCTATTTCCTTTTACTTTCCTCTTGTCCCACTATCATGCTCAGCCTTCTTTTGGGTTTCAGTAATTCCTCTTGGTTACATTACCTTTGATCACGCCTTACCAGGCCTCCTGCACCCTCCTCACCACTAATCTGGATCACTTGTTTTTCCCTTGTCCCTGGGTTTGTTAACACCACCTCTGTTGTTGTTTTCTTAGTATACTCAATAGTCTTCTCCAACAACACAATTCAAGGGCATCAGTTTTTCTTTGTTGTTTCCTCTTTATTGTGTAGTTTTCACAAGCATATGAGGCAATTGAGAATACCTTGATTTAGCCTTCAAAGCAATATCTTTGCTCTTCAGTACATTAGAGAAGGTCTTTGAAACAGACTTGTACAATGTGCAATACATGATCGACTTCTGTGAGATTTGAGGAAGTCATTTAATTCTCAACATACATTGATGTTGATTGTAGGTATGAATAAAATTAAGTCCTGAAAAACTTCAGTCATTTATTTTGGTCCAGTTGTGAGTATTTTTGCTTTTTGAAGTGGAAGTTTAAGCCATACTGAGGGCTTTAGTCTTTAATCTTCATCAGTAAGTGCTTCAAGCCCTCTTTTCTTTCAGTAAGCAAGTTTTGTCATCTGCATATCACAGATTGTTAATAAGTCTTGCTTCTGTACTGTTGTCATATTCCTGTTCATATGGGTCTAACTTCTCAGGCTACTTGCTCAGCATACAGATCGAATGAATTTGATTAAAAGATACAACATCTGTCCTGATTTTAAACCAAATGGCATCTTTTTGTTCTGTTGGAATGACTGCGCGTGTGCTAAGTACAGGTTCTGTCTGAGCATGCCTGTCTCATTCTTTTCAGTGTTACCCATAATTTTTAGTAGTCTACACAGCTGAATTCCTTGTGTAGTTAATAAAGTACAGGCAAGCTTTTTCTGGTATTTTCTGCTTTCAGCCAAGAGCCATCTGACATCAGAAATGATATCCCTTGTTCTGTGCCCTCTTTTGAATGTAGCTTGAATATCTGTCAGCTCCTGTCAGTATGCCTGACAATGTAATACTGCAACAGGTTTGTAATTATATTTAGCAACGTTTTATTTGGTTGTAATATTAAGAATGTTGTTTGATAATTTACACATTTTGGAGTCACCTTTTCTAGGAATAGGTACAATTGTGAGTATTTTCCAGTTTGCTTGACAGGTAACTGTTCTACATATTACTTTGCAGAGACACCTGAGTATTCCCAGTGCTACATGTATTTGTTGAAGCATCTCAATTTGTATTCCATCAATTCTTGAAGACTTTTTTCCCCTGACAATGGCTTCAGTACCGCTTGCTCATCATCCTTTAGTACCATTGGTTGTTTACCATATGCTACCTCCTGAAATGGTTGAACATTGACAGGTTCTTTTTGTTGTGTATTGTTAGGTTTTAATGACTGTGTTTTATTTCCATCTTCTTTTGATGCTTTTAGCATCGTTCAATATTTTCTTATAAAGTCCTCCAGTATGGCAACTTAAGGCTTGAATGTTTCCATCAGTCCTCTTAGTTTGAGAAGTGCCAAGTGTGTTTTCTGTTTGGGTTGTAATTCTAGGTCTTTCCAATCTCATTATAAGACTTTATTTCATCTCCCGGAGCCACACTTAAAAATGTTCTGTCCAATGGCGTCACTTAACCATTTGTTCTGTTCCCTTTAGGTGCTTTCCTTTAAATACGCACAGTGCACAGTTACATGGTGATATAGAAGTTAACCTTTAAAAAATTCTTTCTGTGCTTTTTGTTAAAGAAACACAATGAAACATTTTCTTAAAATCTGTGACTTTTGAGCAAGTCATTTAATCCTCTACACCTGTATCCTAAGTTGAAAATGGTAAAACAATCTCACTTTTGTGAGTATGTTGTCAAGAGTAGGGTGGAGATTTCATATAAAACATTTACAACAGTGCACAGTGTGGTCAATAAATGTGAATTTTCATTCTTATTGGTTTTATTATATTGTCATGATCTGTACTACTGTCAATAGTAATATTGTATCCTTTACAATTAGCATTTTACACATAATCTTCTGAAGTTGGTGTATATTATAGGACTAATCAATGTTTTATCTTCATACTGTGTATGCTTTCGTTGTCTTAGATCAAGATGGGGAGTTTCATCGGCCATGCCCTCCCTGGAAGCTTTTTCTATTTCATGGGTCTGTGGTGGAGTACAAAATACATTCTGAAGTACGACTGCAAAAAGTACAAGCGGAGTTGCTACTTTAATTCTAAATCATCATTTTATCGACTAGAACTTTTGGAGGGAATCATAATAATTAGCATGGCTTTAATTGGTGAGTAGATAATTTCTGTCTTCTATTTTCCAATTTTGGTATTTCTTATGCAAAAAAAATCCAAAACCAAATCAAGAAATTGCTAAAATTAATTTTTAAAAATTCTTAACACATTCTACTTATAATTTCTATTGCTATAATTTGTTAGGAGAGTGATGACTATTCTATGATGAGTTCATTAACTTGCCTGCCTAGTGAATTTTCTTTATAAAATTAGTTTGGAACCCTTGAAATAATTGTATTTCAATTATTATAATATCTGAAAGAGTAGACTATATCAGAAATAATTTTCAGAATCACCCTGAAGCCATACAGCAAGGTACTGAATCCATATGGGAAACCAACAAGAAGCCATTGCTGTCAGGCTACGTGGAAGGGTCAGTGTTGAAGAAGTCCTTGCCTTATGTATTATGTTTGCTTGGTTGTGAATGAGAACAAAGAAGTCAGCCCAGACAACGTCTACGAAGCTTTACTCCCACAGATCTTCTATAAATGTGTGCTGTCTTCCCGGAGTTCTACTGTAGTTTTTCCTTTCGGAAACGGGCAACATCCTGTTGCTCTACTGGATTGAATCCTCTTTAGTTATGGCACTAGCTCTTTGCTAATGTCCTTGACATTACTGAGAAGATTATCCCAAAGAGATGAGTTTCTTCGTCAAACTCTATAGACCAAAAAATCTGTCTCTAAACAGTTTCACTGTTTGTATAAGTGACTAGGCGATATGCTCTATGCATCTGAACAGTTAAACTTGTTGGGGGGGAAAGCTGAACCCTTTAGCAATTTTATCTTGAACCAAGCACAGCCTCTACTTCATGACAGTTATCCAGTGATGCAATTTCTAAGAAAGCAGTTATCATCTTCTATAGGACTGATCTTGCAAATCCAAGCACCCCAATCATTCAGAATTCATCGTAACCACTACATTGAAATGGGCAGTGGAACTAAGGTCAGCAACGGAGAAGACCTGAAAAAGCTTTGTTTTGTTTTTTTATTTTTATTTTTTTTCTTTTGAGTGAGTCAGTGAGTGAGTGAGAGAGTGAGTGAGACAGTGAGAGAGTGAGACAGTGAGTGAGTGAGAGTGAGTCAGTGAGTGAGAGAGAGAGTGAGAGTGAGTCAGTGAGTGAGAGAGACAGTGAGTGAGTGAGTGAGAGTGATGAAAAAGCTTTGTGATGAATATCGATTATCTGAGTTAATATCTGAAACTTAAAAAAAATCCCGTGGAACCATTGCTAAGTTTTTGGATAAATGTCTAGGAAAAGAGGATCACTGTAGAAAGGATACTGGGCTGGACTGAAGAGCCCTGGCAGCATAGCGGGTCACAGGAGGGGGTGCTACCGCAGTGTCAGCAGGTGGAAACCACCAGCCTCTTCCAGGGAGAAAGACGAGGCTTTCCGCTCCGGTAACGAGGGACATCTCAGAAACCCTGGGGGGCAGTTCTTCCCCTGCTGTGACTCAGAACCGACCTGATGGCAATCAGTGTGGTTTTGGAGTTCTGGAGATTGGATGGAGGAACGGGCTCATCGCATACCTTCCAACATCTAGGTAAGATTATGGAGACCATTGTCAAAACTCTTATTCTTCTGCAGGTATCACTGCAGAACAATTCTTTCCTGGTGGACCTTACCTGACCTTATATGACTATAAAGAAGGCCATTGGAAGCAGCTCAAAATGTGGCATCATTGCACGATGTACTTTTTCTTCGGACTGGTTGGTGTGACAAACATCTTATGTCACATTTATCGTTCACTTCCTGGATCATTACCCAAGCTAATGCTGTCAAATGCCTTTTTTGTGGAGGGTAAGTATGAGAGAGGGAATGAGAAAGAATGATGGAGGGAGAGAGGACAGGAGAGAGGGAGGGAGGGAGGGAGAGAGAGAGAGAGAATGAATGGTCCTTAGTTTCATTGAAAAAGTCAAGTTTTTCTACCACTCCCTTCTTTCAGCGTTAATCTTCCACAACCACACTCATGGCCAAGACATGCTAGACATCTATGTGCACCAGCTGCTGTTGCTGGTCATCCTTGTGACAGGTGTACTTATTTTCATCGATTTCATGAGGAGCAACATTATTTTTGCACTTTTGCACACAAGCTTCCTCTTGTTTCAGGGGAGTTGGTTCTGGCAGGTGAGTTGGGACCTCTAGTTAAGGCACCTGGTATCTCTGCTTCTGACTTTTCTTTCTGTTTTGTGGGGCAGCTTGTTTGGGAACCCTGAGACTCCCCCTGACAGTATCCGCCTGTAGTGAGAATATGACCCATGCAGGGCCCACCACCCCTGCTAGGAGTGCTGACTGAGCAGGCAGAAAGGAAGTGACGTGTCATATCTGCGTCACACACTCAATCCTCTGTGAAATGGGAATTGTTAACTGGTGCTTTTAGTTGGAAGCAGTTCCTGATTCTGAAGCAGCTTACAGTCTTATCGTATTAAGTTTAAGAAATCCATCAAACGTAGGAAAATAGAAAGGGCTATGATTTATTGATAAACAGCTGAGTACCACACATGTACATTGTTTCACTTTGCCCCACAACAATCTGGATATGAGGTATCATCATCAGATAAGGAAGACTTAGAAAGACCAAGTTACTTTTCTGGGATCACATAACTTTGGAACTAGGATTCAAATGTGAGCTATCTGGCCTCAAATCCCAGGTTATTCTCCTAAGAAAGAACTGATTCCATACTGTTGGTGTGTTGTTGAGAAAATGAGTGCCAATCAGTGAACACATATTTTATAAAGATGGATAAATCATGTTCCTAGGTATATGCATGAAAACATATGCAGTCAGTGAGCACATATTTTATAGAGATGGATAAATCATGTTCCCAGGTATATACATGAACACACACACACACACACACACACACACACACACACACACACAACATCTGAGATGGTTTTGGTCCCCAGAGAGACGGGTTGAGAGGATGGGGTTACTTCAGGGATTTTCATTTCGCACGAGGAGTGTTCTGGAACCACTGGACAATGGTATTGGGTGCTGGTGAGTTGGTTCTGACCTGTATCATAATAGAACGAAACAGGCCCAGTCTGGAACGATCCTCACAACTGTTAAGATCAAGCCCATTGGTGCTGTGACAATGTGCATCCATTTCCCATTGAGGATCTTTTGCTTTTGTGCTGACCCTCTACGTCACCAAGCATAGTGTCCATTCCGGGGACTGACCCCTCCTGATAACACATTGCCTTAATACTGTCCCTTTTTCCAGAGACTTGATGTTTGGTCCCTTTGCCCCAACTTTTCTAATGCAGAACTCTGAGGTGAAAAACTTTGAACATAAATCTTTATAAGTAAAATAAGTTTTAAAAAGTTTTCCACCTACCAACAAGTCCAGAAGAGTTTCATTTTTTTAACCTGGTGGCCAGACTAAATAAGATCTATTCTTAAAGGAAGATGAGCAGGTAATGCCACTGGCATCACACTGGCAGGAAATGGGGTTTTAGCCATGCTGCTTCTTTCCAGAGACAAAACTGCTTAGAGACATCAGTTAGTTTCTTATGATTCCATGTGTGTTCCACGTACAGGGGGTCTTCAAAAAGTTCATCGGAAACTCCATTAGTTTCATTTACTCACAAATATGTAGAAGACCCCTCAAATGTATGGTATATGAACGCTTTATCGCTGAGTCTCTGTCTTCAGCTATTAATAATAACATATTGTGAGGTATTTGTTGCTATATATTTTCACTTGCTATTACTGCAAATATGGCTAATTTCAGTGTGCACAGTATGTATGGACATATTAGGAAAAATACACATCTAGACTGTAAGAACCATAGGTATGTAGATGTAAGCTGAAATGAGACACATATTCAGGCCAGCCCCATTTTTATAACCCATAAACAAATAAGTAATGTGCAAAGATAGGGGTAACTCCCTTCCTAATCTATAAAAACTTTTTCTTTCCTGAATCACATTACAATTAAAAAAAACATTTTATCAATAACCTAGCAGTGTTATGCAATTTACAAAATAAAGATAGGATCGTTTAGGAATCCTCATCCTATGAATCGTGTTTTCTATTACTGTGTGGTGACTATTTCTAAAGTTCGCTTTTGCTTTGTTACTTCTTGAACTCCTTCCAATTGATACTAGAGTCAAGGTGGCCAGCGAATGAGGGAGGCAATCCAGCTACCTGCGCTACTGATAACATTTAACATTGCTCCATTGCACCTCATATTTCTGTTATCACCTGGGGACTTTGGCCATGACTACCTAGATCACCGGCCCAAATTAATGCTCAACCTAGTTTTGTTTTTAAGAGAAGGAAAATTTCATTCTAAAATAGCAGAAATACCCAACTAAGGAACAATGATTCGATATGCTAGATGAAGCACTTCTTTCGTGTTGAGACAAATACTGGATCAACAGCAATTCAAATCAATGCCATTGAGTCGATGTTGACACAAAGCGACCCTACGAGACAGGGTCTTATAGAATTTCCCCTGTGCATTGTTAAGACAGTAATTCTTTCCAGAAGTAGAAAGCCTCAGTCTTTCTCCCTCAGGGATGCTTGTGGTTTCCAACCTCAGACCTCTCAGTTAGCAGCTCCATACCCATTGAGTTATGCCACTATGCCACCAGAGCTCCTAATTTATTTGGTAAGATTATTTAAAAACATGAAAAATTCAGACTGAACTATACGTGATATGCTGCTATCTTACAGACTACTAAAAAACTGTTTAAGTTTTAAATATGATACTAATTATGTTAGACAGGGTTCTCTAGAGAAACAAAACCAGAACGCTAATAATTATATATATGTATTTATACAGATAGAGAGATCTATAATGTAAGAAATAATTAATTAAATTATAAAGCAGTACAAATGGCTCAGTGCAACTCACTCCTGTGAGACAGTTGTGAGACATTGGCAGTCCTTCAAGTCTTGAGGGCCCCCGATAATCCTCTGTAGAGCAATTAGGGCAATCTGGCCACAGGCAACAAACAACAAGGCAGGTCACCAACAGTCAGCCAGATGACAGGGTCCAACAGTCCCCAGTTCAAGAGATGTAAATTCCAATGGTGTGGTGAAGCAGGTCATGAAGGAACCTCAAATTACAGTGACACAGTCCATGGGTTAGGCGTCCCACAGGTAGTGAGGCTTGCAGATTGAGGCACGGAACAAGCAAGGCAGCCACACACTGGTTCAATGATCAAAGAGCAAGAGACAAGAGAGGCGAGACTCACCGTGTCATTTATCTCTCCGCCCTTCAATTAGTCCCAATGTGTTTATCGGCCAGGTTGGCACAATAAACTAACTCACTAATGGAGCTTACACTATTCAAAAACAAATGTTCAAGAGTGGCATGCAATATAGAAGAAGAAAAACAAATTTTTGCTAGTCTTTTTTTCCCCTCCTCTTGAACATTTACATTAGGAAGCAACTTAGGAAACTAGATAAAAGTGTACACCTATTCCTTACTTACTACCTCACTACTCAAAATCTCACATTCATGACAGTAATTAGAAGTCCACTCACTGGGCCTCAACTCAAGTACTCCCTCAACACTTTGTTCTAACAATCCAGCATTCTGTAATGCTCACCTACCCAACACAATTGCAGAAGACAAAAATGGGTACATAAGTAAATGTGAAGAAAGCTGATGGTGCCCAGATATTGAAAGATATAGTATCTGGGGTCTTAAAGGCTTGAAGATAAACAAGTGACCATTTAGCTCAGAAGCAACAAAGCCCACATGGAAGAAGCACACTAGCCTGTGTGATCATGAGGTTTTGAGTTACCAGATATCTAAGACCCAGAACAAAATCACACCCAAGGTGAATGGGGGGGAGGGGGCATGGGGTGGAGATCCAATGCCCAACAGTAGACAATTGGACATTCCCCTACAGAAGAGTCACAGGGAAGAAATAAGCCAGTCGGGGTGCAGTATAACACCAATGAAACACACAACTTTCCTCTAGTTCTTTAGTGCTTCCTTCACCCCACTATCATGACTTCAATTCTACCTTACAAATCAGATTAGACCAGAACATGCACACTGCTACAGACAAGAGCCCATAACACAGGGAATCCAGGGAAACACCCCCAGGGCCAACAATGTGTTACAGATACCAGGAGGATTAGGGGAGGGTGGGGGAGAAAGGAGGAATCAATCATAAGGAATAACCTATAACCCCCTCTCAGGGGGTTGAACAATGGAAACGTGGGTGAGGGGTGACAGAGGATGATGTAAGATATGACAATAATAATATATAACTTATTGAGGAAGGGAGCGAGGGTGGGGGAGGGATGGGGAAGAAATGGGGAGCTTCTATCGGGCTCAAGTTGGAAGAGAATGCTTTGAAAATGAAGATGGTAGCATATGTGCAAATGGATTGTGATAAGAGATGTAAGAGCCCCCAGTAAAAGTATTTAATAATAATAAAAAAGAAGTCCACTATCCAATTGCTTGGCATATCAATAGCAGATGTCCAGCAGTAACAATGCTGGGCTGAGGTAGAGTAACCATGGCTGTGGTGGTTACGGATCTGAGTCAACTAGGTTGAGCCATGATTCTCTGTGGTTTGGCAGAACCAATCCATGGACTAATTGAATGAAAAGACAATGGGAAAATTCCACAAACTGAAGCTCCTGTACCTGTAATGCTTTGATCTGACATTTATACAATGATGTGATTTAGCACTCATGTAATGATGGAATGTGAAAGTGATAGAATTTCCCCCATAATGCTGATTTCATGGAACAACCTGGTCTCAAGATGGAACCGTTGCAATATCTTTTATATTTAAGAGCATTAACTTAGGGTCTCGGTTTCTTTTATTCTGATATGCTCATGGAGTAGTTCTATGGATTTCCATGAAATCTTCTAAGGCACATCTTCAGCTCTCAGTCTCAAGCTCTAATGGTTCTGATGAGATTAGCAATCAGAGGTGCTCAAAGTTTCTCTTTTTCTGGTAAAATTGATGACAACTAGTGGAAATGACATGAGATTTAATTTGGAGGCTCCAAAACTAATTGTGGGGAATGTGGCAGACAGTGAGAAGTCTATGGGCCCTAGATCAGGTGGTCGTGGATTTGTGTTCTAGAGCTCCCATATGAACTACACGAACACACACGAGCTAGTCTGCACCTTCAGCTTTCCTCA